ACCAGCTTTGGACTTACTGAGTCCCTCTGCAATTGTGAACCTGGGACACAAGCGTAGTCTGCCAGTCATCTGCTTTGCTTACATCAAACAATGTTGGTGAGAACTCTGGCCCTGTCTCTGTGTCTGCAAATCTTCAGCCTCACCGGTTAGGGCCTGGAAGCACACAGCCTCACCTTTCCCCGAACACTGGTTCTTGGAGTTTGCCCACTACACCAGTCACAGAAGGCTCCTGAGTACACAAGTGGTCTCTATTTTGTCACCTGTCTTCTCTGCTGGTGGACACAATGGCTACAAATAGACATGCAGTGGATTCCTTTGGAGAATATGATTACCTTCTAAAGAAACTCAGAACTCTACTATCTCAGAGGGGTAAAAGGAGGAAGGGCTGTTTTCTAGCACCACTAGATCCAGAACAGTCTGAATGAGGGCAATAAATGGTGTCCATTGCCTACCAGGGGCCTTTCACGTTTATGACCCTCTTTGGCCTTTCATTCTCCTCCCCCTACCTGCTCTCTACTCACTCTATTTGGCACACAGATATGGCTGTCCAATTAGCATTTAATCCCAAGACAGAGGAACTGAGGGGTTCTCCTCCCAAGACGTGATCTGTGGTGTGCTTGGGTACGCTATAACATCTCCTTATGGATGGAAGCCTAACTTCAGGGATCCTAGGTGATGACATGTGCTGTTCTCCTCATCCGTATCCTGTTTATTCTGTAATACATGCCTGCTGATCATGCCATTCATTAGTAGTGTCTGGACTGTGTTCGACTCCAAACGACTCCTCATTAAGAATTTGTGGACAGTGACATGCAAGTGCCACATGGAGGCTTCTGCAGCATGCCCTCCTTACTCTCAACCCCCAACTTACTAACATACTCTGGGGTTCAGGCCAAAGAATCTTCATTTTCACAAGACCTACAGGTGATTAAGGTACACATTCAAGAACATTCCATCTTCTGTGATTTCTGTGGATGGGATACACACACCTCTTGTGACTAACAGGGATGTATAAAGTGATGGTATGTTTGAACAGAGATGGCAAAAATCCAATCAGTACATGTTTTCCTAATTCTTTTCAGAAAACTACATGCAAAGTGCCATGTTTTCTATTATTTAGTAAAGGAGCACTATGCTGGATTTGAGGAGCCCTGGCAGTGCACTGGTTAAGCACTCACTGCTAACTGAAAGGCTGGCAGTTTGAACCCACCAGTCACTACATGGGAGAAAGACTGACACAGTGTGCTCCATAAAGACCCTCTGGGGTCGTTCTACTCTGTCCCACAGGGTCACTTTGAGTCAGAATTAACTCTACAGCAATAGTGTGTTATATATGAGGGGCCCTGGTAGTTAAGCACTCAGTTGATAACTGAAAGGCTGGTGGTTTGAACCCACTCACCAGCTCCAAGGAAGAAAGACCTGGCAATCTGCTTCTATAAAAATCACAGCCTAGAAAACCTCACAGGGCAGTTCTACTGTCACATGGGGTCTCTCTGAGTTGAAATCGACTCAACAGCACCTAACAACAACATGTGACATGCTCTATAGGTCTCTGGGTGGCACAAATGATTTGTGCTTGGCTACCAACCTAAAGGTCAGCAGTTCAAAGCCACACAGCAGCATCGAAAAGCTTAGAGACCTGTTTCTGTGAAAATTACAGCCAAGAAATCCATGAAGACTAGCTCTGTTCTGTAACATCTCACTCACTGCTGTTGAGTAACATCCAACTCATAGTGACCCCTCCTTGGGCTTCTGAGGTGGTATCACTACGGACATAGATTGCTCAACCTTCCTTCTGAGCAGTGGCTGGTGGGTTTGAACTACCAGCCTTCTGGTTAGCAGTCAAATGCCTCAGGCACTACACTACCAGAGCTCCCATTCTGTAACAAACAGGGTTGTAAAGAGTCAGAATCTACTCGACAATGGGTCTGGTTTTATGCTATTACACCTACTCCTCATTTACTATGTCATTATCTCACATTTCACATTTAGGACAATAGTAAAAAGATCTACTATCCGACTATTTTGTGCATTAACAAAATATAGCTGGTGGTAATGAACACTGAGGGGTGAGGCGATAGTAACCCTCATTGTGTGGTCAAGGTTTTGTGTGATCTTGGCTGGGCCATGATTCTCAGTGGGTTAGCAGCTATGTAATGATGTAATTGGCAGGTTGTAACGATGTGCTCTTCCATTTTCGCATAATGCCGATTTCCACGTAAACAGCCTGGGCTCTGGATGCTACGATCCATGTCAATAACCTGGGCTCTGGACCCAACCCACATCTGTAAGAGTGGGTCAATACAGTAGTCCCTAAGTGGTGCAAACTTCACAAGCTTGGCTGCTAACCCAAAAACTGAAGGTTAAACCCACCAAGAGGTACCTCAGAGAAAGGTCTCATGATCTACTTCCAAAAATCCCAGAGAGCTCAGTTCTGGTCTGATGCCTGGGGTCACCGCGAGGTGGAGTGGACATAGCAAAAACCATCTTCCCTTTTTCAATACAGAATGAAAGACAAAATCACTGCAGTGACACAGGCTGAACATCAAGCGTTAGCGAGGCTGTGAGGCAAGCGGAACACTCACATCCTGCTGCTGTCACAGTAGTCACTTTGGAACAAAATTTGTGGCACTTTCTTTACAAAAGTGACACATTCATCAACCCTATGACCCCATCATTCCCTTCTTAGGTATTTACCCAACTGAAATAAAATGTACATCCATCAGAAACTTGTACACAATTCTTCTCAGCAGCTTTATTCATGATAGCCAAAAACTGCAAACAATCCAAATGTCCACTAACAGCTGAACAGATTAAAAAGAAAAAAATGGTATAATGGGATACTATTCAGCAATAAATAAGAATTACTGATACATGCAAGAATATGTGAAAATCTCAAAATAGCTACACTTAGTGACAAAGGCTAGAGCCCCCTACCCCATCACCACCAGAATAAAGAGTACTGGCTGTATGAGTCCCTTTAAATGAAATTGTAAAAAAAGAAAGAAAGAAAAAAAAAAGGATGAAAACATAAAGCAAACCAATGATTTGCTTGTTAACTGCAGGGTAGGAGGTTAGGAAGAACTGAAAGAAGGGATTATGAAGGGACACAGGGGATCCTCTTAAGCGTGCCCGATGCATTCAGTACGTGGTGATGGTTTCATATGCTAACATCAAATTTTACACTTTAAGTACGTGTAGTTTACTGCATGTCGATCATACCTCAATAAACCTGTTAAGAGCAAAATGCTCTTCATGAAAAGCCATTATCTACCACGTCTCTGGTTAAGTGCTCAGCTGGTAACCACATGGATGGCAGGTCAAACTCACCCAGCTACTCCACGGGACAAAGACCTGGCAATCTGCTTCCATAAAGATTACATCCTAGAAAACTCTATGAGGCAGTTCTACTCTGTCACATGGGGTCACTGTGAGTTTGAATCAACTCAATGGCACCCAACAACAATCACCACCCCTCTTATAAAATCAGATCTGCCAACTATTTTGATGCTAGCATACCCCTCTCCCTGACAGGTAGGAAGGTGAGCCTGGCCTCGATGGCAGCAGAAACTGGACTGTGACAAAGACCATGTCCACTGAGGGTGCCAGTGAGTCAGAGAAACACCACCCCTGGATTAAAGGACCTGTCCTCTCTCAGACCTGGACTTCCTGTCTATGCAGCATGGCCATAAGGTTTTAATGCTCTAGGGAGGCTCTCTTTGACTGTCAGCTCTGACAGTGACCTTTGCCATGTCACAGGACAGAGAGATCTGCAGGTCTTGAAAACGTCTACACACCCTCATCCCACACAGCCATCTTTACATGGACATCCGTGGATGTCACTCTAGAATGGAAATGTCCTCTCTCGTCTGCAGTCTTCCCCACTATCTCAGTATTCCTGTACCCAGTCTCTCTGTCCCAGCTGATTTCTCCCTGGTCTCATAGCTCTTAGAGTCAATGACACCTGCCTATAGGACTCTAGATGCCAGTGGGCTGTCTGGGAGACAGCAATTCATCCCTCATGTTGGGGAATGTGGGACAATCCTGAGAATGGGAGACCCAACTTATGTTGCTCTTCACACCACTGCAGGATGCCACCAATATTCTCTTCATCAGGATATTCTCTGGGCTCGCAGGAAATCCTCATACTCAGGCCACAGGATGAGGCTCACAGAGCTCTTCAGTTCTACCTGGCAGGTCTTGGGCAACAATGCAAATTAGGTCAGACTTGCATGGGATCTGTTCTCTGCCACCCTCTTGTCCCTTTTGGGCACATAAAGCTGAGGGCCCCACAAAAGGGGTTCCCCCTTCATGTTGGCAGACCCAATTCTTTCCTCAATCCACTCCAGACAGTAAGCAAAACTCCCAAGAGTTAAGGCTTACACAATAAGGCCTTTATTGTTGGAGAAAGCAGAGCAGCATGAGGCAGGCAGTTATGAGGTTGGATGACTCATGAGCAGGACAAATCTATCACAGCTACCACATGTACAGATGATGTCATCCATGAAGAAGGGGCACCTTCTCTAAAAGAGTCTAGAAGATCCTAGCTCAAAGGCTTTTGGCTGAAGCTAGGTCATGTCTACTCAGAAACCAGTCACAAGGGAGGAAGTGAGAATGTCTAAGTGTGCTGCAATACTCAAGATTCTCTCCAGGGAGTAGGCAGGAGAACACGGAGGTCTACCCTCCCTGATACACACTGTGGGACCCTGACAGCTGGCAGCAATGAGATGGCTTCCACTATAGGCACTGGCAGTGACATAACCCAGGACAGTTCAGAAAGTGCAATGCAATTGGTGACAGCTTCCAGTGCACATGGCACTCAGTGAGAATCTCCTCAGTGTGGGCATCTGAATGGACAAGGCTCACCTGCTGGCTGATGGCTCTCTCACAAAGGGTACTCACTGCTGTGAGTCCTACTGGGTTGAACAAGGAGAGAAGACATACATTTTATGCACTCGTAAGATCTTTCTCAAGTATGAACACGATGGGGGGTAAACAAGTTAAAGAGATGCAGATAAAGGGTCACTAAAATTATTGCACTCATGAGGCCTCTCTCCAGTGTGCACTTTCTTGTGCCGAACAAGATGGGAGCTTCTGCTATAGGCTTTCCCACATTCGCTGCACACATAAGGCTTTTCTCCAGTGTGAACTCTCTGGTGTAGAATGAGGCTGGAGTTGCGGCTAAAGAATTTCCCACATTCACTGCACTCATAAGGCCTTGCTCCAGTGTGAACTTTCTTGTGCTGGACGAGGTGGGAGCTACTGATGTAGGCTTTCCCACATTCACTACATACATAAGGCCTTGCTCCAGTGTGCACTCTCTGGTGTAGAATGAGGCTGGAATTGTGGCTAAAGCATTTCCCACATTCGCTGCATTCGTAAGGCTTTGCTCCAGTGTGAATTCTCTGGTGAACAATAAGGTTGGAGCTATGGCTGAAGAATTTCCCACATTCACCACACTCATAAGGCCTTTCTCCAGTGTGGATTTTCTGGTGCTGGACAAGAGTGTCCTTACGGCTAAAGGCTTTCCCACATTCACGGCACTCGTAAGGCCTTATCCCAGTGTGAATTATCTGGTGCTGAACAAGTGTATCTTTGCAGCTGAAGGCTTTCCCGCATTTGTTGCATACATAAGACCTTGCTCCTGTGTGGACTCTCCGATGTTTGATGAGGCTGGAATTATGGCTAAAGAATTTTCCACACTCAATGCACTCATAAGGCCTTGCCCCAGTATGAATTCTCCAGTGCTCAATCAGGTGGGAACTTTGGCTAAAGAATTTCCCACATTCACTGCACTCATAAGGTCTTTCTCCTGTATGAAATCTCTGGTGCTGAACAAGTGTGTCTTTCCGGCTGAAGGCTTTCCCACATTCCTCACACTTATAAGGTCTTTCTCCAGTGTGGATTCTCTGGTGCTGAACAAGGTGGGAGCTTCTGCTATAGGCTTTTCCACACTCACTGCAGTCATAAGACCTTTCTCCAGTGTGAACTCTCTGATGCTGAACAAGGGTGTCTTTACGGCTGAAGGCCTTCCTACATTCGCTGCACACGTAATGCCTTTTTCCTATATGAAATTTCTGGTGCGTTCTGAGGTGGGACAGGTGAGTGAAGACCTTTCCACATTCCTTACACACATGAGCTGTTTCTCCACTGTGAGTTTTTCTGTGTTTAATAAGAGCTGATTTCTCCTTGAAGGCATTTCCACACGTGAGACACCTGAAGGGTCTTTCAGTTTGAGTGATCCAGTTGTCAAGGAGAGCAAAGGTCTTCAGAAAAGCTTCCCCATAGTTGCTACACTTGAAGAGCATGTGTCCAGCATAAGCACCCTGGTGCTGACTGACAGTGGAGCTGTGCGGAAAGGACTCCATGCACTCAGTCTTTCTGGATGGTCTCATCCCAGTGTGAGTAGTGTGCTGCTGGAAGAGGCCAGGGCTGTCTAGGAAACCCGTTCCTTCTTCCTTGGACGTGAAGGGCCACCTTGCCATGTGGACTGTCCAGTTCTTCACGAATGAGGCCTGACCATCATCCTTTCTGAAGGGATTCTCTTCACCATGTTGCTCCTGCTGCTGTTGAAAGTTTGCACCAGATAGGTTTCTCTCACTTAGTTCACACATGTACGGTTTCTTTGTGGGGTGTGACCCCTGGTGCTGAGCCAGGTGTACAATGTCTTCGAAGACAGGGTCGCATCTCTCACAGGGATGGGCTTTCTGGGTGGACAGAGTCCTGACCTGTGCCACTCCTTCCACAGAAACATCCTGCTCAGAAGGTGTCCTCTCCTCCTCTGCTTCACGCCAGCAACCTGAAAGCAGAGACATGCTGATGAAGTGCAGGCTGACTGTGGTGGAGAGTAGCAGCCCCATCCTAACTGTGTGTGTGACATAACCAGGAATGGGTCCATGGGATTGTTGGCAGGACAGGGGAGCTAGGGTCAGGGTAATTATGAGCCCATTGTCAGTTCTGTGCCTCTAGAGGTCAGGGAATGGGGGCAGCCTAATGTTAGGTAGACCCAAAGACGGTGTACAGTACAGAAAGGAAAAACAAGGTCTCCGAATCCTCTGCAGACAGGTTTCAGCATGGCCTTGGCTGTAGGTGTCAGGTGAGCCCTGTGCAGAAGTATATATCCAGTCCCCAGAAAATTTGACTGCAAGGAAACAGTTGGTGTTCAAAGATGAATAAGGTTATGTGCACATCTCTGACACAGTAAACGTAGAAGATGTTGAGCGATCCAGTTGTTGAGGAGAGTAAAGGTCTTCAGGAAGGTTTCCCCACAGTTGCTATACTTGAAAAGCATCTGTCCTGCATGAGGAAAGTACAAACATGCAGAGGACAACGAAAGAGACATGGACGCTAGAGAAGTGGGGAAACCTCCAAGAGATGGAAGACAGGAAAAATTACAAGTGTTGTGGTGAAATGAGTTCCTTTATGGGGACTTTTGCCTTGGTTCTTTTGAAAAAGAGTTTGAGAGATTTTCCTCCTAAGTCCTGAGGAGTTACCTTTGCCTTAGTTTTCTACCACAGAGGGTTGTTCCATTCTCTGGGTAACAAACTTGGTTTGTTACTTTTTGTCTGGTCCTGGGCTGCAGTCTGTCCTATGACTGGTACACACTTGGCAGACATTGGTCAACAGATTATGCAAATGAAGTATCTGTGGCCTACTGAAAGGGAACTGGCCAGTTTTTGACTCCCTGCTGGGAGGGGCATGTCTTGAAATTGACAAGGAGTTGTGTATGCAAGCAGCCAACCCCAAAGAAAGCAGCAGGAAGAGAAGCAAAAAGAAGTCAGAAGAGAGAAGAAGAGGAGAGTGAGAAGGCAAGGAACCTCCTAAAAGAGCTCTAATGCAGGTGAAGTGCTGCTGTAACACTAAAGATAGCAACAAGGCCAGAAGGAGCGCAGTGCCAGAGCTTGCAGAGACAGGCCTAGAAGGGACACTGTGGCAGAGCTGGTGGTGACAGAAGGCAGTACCAAGAGGAGCCTGTCCTGAGGGGCCAACAGGAGCCATGCACGGCCAAGAAGAGCTAAGAGAGCTCTCCCATACTGAAGGGAGACTTTGCCTACATGCTTCCTGATTCTGATCTTGCGTTGTTCTGTTACTTCCTTAATAAACTACTTAACTATCATGGTCTATGACTTATGTGTGGCCACTGCAATGGATTATCAAATCGAGCAGAGAAGTGGAGAGTGTCATGAGGATAGGTGGTGTCAGAATGGTAAAAATGTGGAGAGTGGAGGTATGTCTGACTTCTACCTAATAGGCATCAGCCTTGGGCTGATCTTGATTCACATTATCCTTCCTGAAGTTACACAGATTCTGACAACAATACTATTACTACTCCTACTACTGTTAGTCTCACACTTTCACAAGTGTGAAGAGGGGAAGGAAATTGAGAACTACCATGTTGTTGTCAGGTGTCATTGAGTCAATTTTTTACGTAATTATGAGCCCATTGTCAGTGATACCATGTGACAGAGTAGGCCTGCTCCACAGTTGTAATCTTTACAGCAGCACATCACCTGGTCTTTTCGCCTGTGGGGCTACTGGTTGGATTCTAACTGCTGACCTGTGGTTAACAGTTGAGCAATTAAGCACTGTGCCACCAGGGTATCCTTTTAAAGAACTACTCTGTGATGAAGCAATCCCAATCCTAGAGATATACCCAAAATTACTGAAAGCACTTTCCACAAAAGCCAAAATGTGAAACAACCTAAATGTCCATCAACAGGTGAACACAATGTGACACAGACATACAATGGAATACTACTCAGCCATAAAAAGAAACAAGGTACTGATGCATATCACAATATGGATGAACCTTGAAAACATTGTGCTGAATGAAGTAAGTCAACAAAAAGACAAATATTGTATGATCCCACTCTTAAGAGATACCTACAACAGACAACTGCACATAAGGATCAAAGTTTATTAGTGGTTACCAAAAGTGGCAGAGACTTGGCAACCCAATGATTAAGTGCTTGGCTGCAAACTGAAAGGCTAGCAGTTTGAACCCACCAAGAAGTTCAGGAGAAAGACCTGCTCAAATAAAGATTATAGCCTAGGAAACCCTATGGGGCAGTTCTACTCTGTCACATGGGGTTGCTATGAGTAGAAGGCACCTAACAACAGCAGCAACCAGGGGCAGGAGGAAGAGGGAAAGGGGGAGTCACTATTGAGGAAACACTGAGTATCTATTTATAGTCATGGAAAATCTGGAAATGAATACTGGTGACAGTCCTACGTCGTGATTAATGGAATTGGTGTCACTGAATGTACATGTGAAAAATGCCGAATTGGCAAATATTGTTAACCTATACATTTACAACAACAAAATAATAAAAGAGAAGGAGGAGAAGCTAGAAGTGGGATATCACAATAGGCCTGGGCAAAAAAAAACATCAGTGGGTACAGAACAGATTGAAGGTATAAAGTGAACCCAACCTTGACATGACATCCACCAACCCCACAGCAGAGCAAGACCCTCTTTGGGCTCTGTGGCTGAAGTCCTGTCCACCCTATTGGATACTCATGGCTTTCTGCCACTCTCCAAATGAACAGCAATGTGAGACCTGAAGATGAAAGTCCTAAAGGAAAGATGACAGATGAGTGGCAAGCACTGGCCCAGGGTGACTGACCCCAAACAGAAGAAAATTAAATGTTAAAAAACAAAGAATCTCATCAATGTCACTGAACTGTACATGCAGAAACTTGAACTGGTATGTGTTTCACTGTGTACAGTCTAACAATAAAACAAAGCATAATAAAATAAATTATTTAATAAAAAAAGAAAACATCCAAGGAGGATCTGCCAGAATAGCCCTGAGACCTCTATGAACACTGCCCGCGTCAAAATGAAAAACTCACTGCCCTCAAGTCCCATCCAACTCATAGCGACCTCTCCTTGGGTTTCCAAGGCAGTATCACTAAGGAAGTTGTCCAATCTTCCTTCCGAGGAGTGGCTGGTGGGTTTCAACCACCAGCCCTCTGATTAGCAGTCAGATGCCTACGGCACTACTGTCAGTCCCTACAATCTGTGGTATAGTCAGGGCAAGTCAGCTAGAGGAAGGGGGCAGATCAGGGGCACCATAGTTTTGCCATGTAGGATCTGCCAGGTAGACTGAAAAACTCTTGAGCCTCTATCCTCTTCTCACAAGCCTCTTGGGCAGCAGGTGTTGGGACTGCTTAGTGAGGGTGGGGACACTGCACAAGGCCCATCCTTGGATCCACAGTGCCTACCCCAGGGAACCTAAGAAAGCAGAAGTGTCACTGATCTGGCTGTGGGACGGACAGAGCTGCCCTGGGGGAAAAGCAGAACAAAACCCTACCCGAGGGGTGGAAGCAGATGCATGGGCCTATGGAATGGAAGGTAACCTCTGAAAAGCCCCAGTGACTGTTTCCTCCTAGTATCCTTGCCCCTGTGTAACCTCGTCCCTTAACTGTGGGCTAGACTAACTTATTGCTAGGAATCCCACAGCCATTGAATGGATTCTGACTCACAGCAACCTTCTAAGACAGAAAAGGATTTCCCCAGAGGCTTTCCAAGGCTGTAAATCTTTATGGAAGCACACTGTCAAATCTTTCTCCTGCAGAGCGGCTGGTGGGTTCAAACCACTGACCTTTCAGTTAGTAGCCAAGCACTTAACCATTACGCCACCACAGCTCATTTCTAGGAATACAACCAAAAACCCACTGCCATCGAGTCGAATTCAACTCACAGCAACCCCTCCTTGGGTTTCCAAGGCAGTATCACTATGGAAGTAGATTGCTCAACCTTCCTAGAACATGGTAAAAATTATAGAATGCCACTGTTGAGATTAGGCAACAAAAGCACGGGCTTCTATCCTGGATACTCTGTCTTGCTCACTTGCTCAGAGAGAAGCCAACTTCCATGTAAGGTACGCTGAGAGAAGGCCAACACAACAAGGAACTGAGGGAGACCTCAGGCCAACAGCCAGCAAAGGGACTACTGCCCATAGTCAAAAAGGCCACAGAAAACAAATCTTGTAAGCAACCACGTGAGTGACCTTTTAAGGGGACTCTCCCCTAGACAGGCCCTCAGATAAGACCACAGCTCTATCCAACAGTTTGACCGCAACCTCATGAGAAACCCCAAGCCAAAAGCATCCAGGTAAGCTGTGATCAGATTCCTGGCCCACTGTAAAAAGACAGAAAATAATTTTCTGCTGTTTGTGAACATTAAATGTTGGAGTGATTCGTCACTTAGCAACAGATAACTAAAACAAGGACTTACCCAGTGAGGCTGCCAAGGCAAAGTTCTCCAGCATCACATGGCGGTACAGCAGCCTCTGAGCCTCATCAAGGAGTCCCCACTCCTCCCGGGAGAAGTACACGAACACGTCCTCGAAGGTCACAGAGTCCTGTGATGATGGGGACAATTGAGTCCACAGGGAGAATCTCTGCTGGGACTCCCACTCTATCTGCTCACACAACCACCTACTCACTTTGCTGCCCAGCACCCACCTCAGAGCAGGCCCCAGGCTTTGGCACCACCACTGTCTCCTTTCTCCTCAAGTCCTACTGATCACTGGGCCCAGCACAGAGCTGGACCAGGCAGGTATGCAAAATGATGCCACCTAAACCCTGGAATGCAGGGTCCCAAAAGCTCTCCTGCCAGCCAGATATAAGAATGGTGATACTTTGTCTCAGGTACTTTGGATATGTTATCCAGAAAAAAAAAAAAAAAAAAAGCCTCAGTGCCATCGAGTCAATTCCAATTCACAGCAACCCCCACTGGGTTTCCAAGGTGGCAAATCTTTACAGAAGAAGATTGCTCCATCTTCTTTCCACAGAGTGGGTGGGTTTGAACCACCAGCCTTCTGGTTAGCAGTCAGATGCCTTAGGCACTGCGCCACCAAAGCTCCTTGGATATGTTATCAGGAGGGATCATTCCTTCAAGGGCATCAAGCTTGGTAAAGTACCCGGTCAGTGAAAAGAGGAAGACCCTCAATAAAATGGACTGACACAGTGTCTGCAACAACAAACTCAAACACAGCAACAACTGAGAGGATGGTGTAGGACCAGGCAGAGTTTCATTCTGTTGTATGCAGAGTCACTGTGAGTTGGAAATGACTTGATGGCTCCTAACAGTAACAACATGATCCTTCAGAAGCAGATGTCAAGGCTTTTCTTTCAAGGCTCCTCTGGGTGGATCTGAAATGCCAACCTTTGGTTAGTAACCAAGCACTTGACCATATTCATCACCCAGAGATTCATGACCCGATCCAACCCACTGCCATCGAGTCGGATCCAACTCACAGAAACCCCTCCTTGGGTTTCCGAGGCAATATCACTACAGAAGTAGGATTGCCCAACCTTCCTTCCGAGGAGTGGCTGGTGGGTTTGAACCGCCAGCCTTCTGGTTAGCACTCAAATGCCTTAGGCCTCTCCTGAATTTAACTCACAGTTCCACCCTACTCCACATACAGGCCACCACCTTTTGGACTTCACCAACCTGAGCCCCTTTCCAGAACTCAAAACCTGTATGTCCAGCTTGATGAAGCAAGAAAAGGGTCTGTGGAACTTCTTAAACTCGATGTGGCTAAAACACTCCCGGATACAGCCGCGGAAAAACTCCAACCACCAACCTCCTCACCTCACCTGATGGCATACCCATCATTCGATCAGCTCAAACCAAAACCCTCGGGGCCTCCCCCCTTTCTCTCTGCCTGCTCCCTTTCTCTTGCTCACGCACCCTACTTAAAAATCAGATTTCCAAGCCAGCCCCTTTCCCCACTTCCAGAGTCACCGCTTTGGGCCAGTCACCGTCCACACTCACGCGGGTTATTGCAGGAGCCTCCTGCCTAAAACGTGCGCGAGATCAGCTGCCTCCTCCGCTCCCTGGCTCCCACCGTCCTCAGCACGGAGGTCCAGCTCCAAGGGCCGCCATCAGGCCTGACTGCAGTCCCCTCCCCTCGACTCCCCAAACGTAATGAAGACCTGCGGGTCCTTGACCGAGCGCCCCCAGCGCCACTAGTTCTCACCTCAACCATTTGCACACGCCTGTCCCTGGGTCTAATACACCTTCTGGTCGTCCTCCCACCGGTTTCCAGAAATGAGAGCCTCTCCATTTCCACGCCTCGCCTGGACTCAGGAGCCAGGGCCTCCAGACTCAAGAGCAGACCGACAGAGGCAGCCAGACTCGGGACGGTACGAAGTGTCAGCTGTAAACAGGCGGGCCGGCCCTCCTTAAAACCCATGCACAACCCCTCCGCTGCCCAGGTCGCCGCCCACCGCTGGTCCCTCAGCTGGGACTGAGGCGGCAGACGGCGTCCGGCGTCGCGGCCAACGTCCCGCCCCACTCTGCCCTCACAGGGAACCGTTGACGTCGGAATCAGAACACCCTCCTTCGGCTCCCCACCTTCTGTGGCTCCCACCACCTGCAGAACGGAGCTCCCACTCCTCAGGCCGCCACTGCCGCCCGCCTGCTGGCCCCTGCTCCCGGAGCCCAAAAGGCAGAGTTACGACCCGCGGCTCCCAGACACGCCTCTCCCGCTCTCTCCACCGAGTCGCCCGAGCCGGCCCGCCGCCTTGGCGACTCGCGCACCCCACCCCACTGGCTCCTGGGAATCGGACACCGCGTCCAACCCCGGGAGAGGGACTGCCCTCCACACACCGCCCCCTCAATCAGATGCGGACAGCGGGACAAACCCTGCACCCACCTGAGCCCGGTCCGTCAGGGTCGCCGCCGCCATACGGTCCTATGGGCAGAACGGAGTCGTGAGGGGCGCGTCCCACCGGCTCAGCCGAACCCCGACACCCCAACCGTGCTGGTGACCTCAGTCTTCCCCGCGGAAAAAGTCTCAGACTCAGGGGCCCGCCCTCAGGGCCCGCGAGGACCGAGGACGAGTGCGGAGGCCCGCCAAGCTCGCAGCCCCGAGGACACCCTCGCGTGAGGCCGCTCGTCCCAGAGAGGGCACGCGGCTCGTCACAAAGGCGCAGAGGAAGGTCCTGCGCTTTGGAAAGTCCTTCCTGGATCGGTTTCGATGAACGTCCGCAGTCCCAGAGCCCACTGCCCGTGCTGACAGACTGGCGCAGGTAAATGACGTACGACGGTGTCACCAGAAACCCCACCCCTACCAGCAAGAAACGCCCATTTTTTAGGCAGTCTTTGGCCCAATGCGCCAGGCAGAGACTTCTGGGTAATGTAGTTTGTGTACAGCAACCACCTAGAATTTGCACTCTTTTCGCGTTTTCCTTGACAAAAGCAAAGCTGCAAGGAACCAAGTTCTGGGAAAAAAGTATTGGCAAACTGCGTCCTGAAGCGCCAAAATACCTTTTAAGAGTAAAGCACCAAGATTTCTGGGGTCCTCAGGGACTAGGCCACGCATTCAGAAGTCTCCAGCAGGTGAGCTGCCTCATTCTTTAATCTTTTTTCTGAGACTACGTCAGCTGCTTAACCTGAGCTTCCACGAGATGGCAGCCACCATGGGCTCAGGTATAGCAAGGATTGTGAAGCTGGCGCAGGACCAAGCAATGTTTGGTTCTGTTGTACACAGGGTCGCCAGGGGTCAGAGCCAACTAGGACACCTAAAACAACAAATGTTTTCAGAAGCGCTAGTGGTACAGTGGTTAAAGCGTCCAGCAGCTAACCTAAGTCAGCGGCTTCACCCACCAGCCACTCAGCAGGAGAAAGATGTGGCAGTCTACTTCCATAAAGATTTCGGACTTATGAAACCTTATGGGGCAGTTCCACTCTGTCCTTTAGGATGGCTGTTTGTAACTGACTCTATGGCAACAGGATTTTTAATGTTGTTTTCATCTATTCCGACTCATGGCAACCCCCAATGTGCAAAACAGACCTGCTCCATAGGATTCTCAAGCCATGACCTTTCAGAAGTAGATTGCCGGGCCTGCCTTGCAAGGAGCCTCTGGGTGCAAGGTGTCACTCACTACCAGGAACTCCTAGTAGTGTCATAAATTCTGCTAATTCACTGGTTCTCAAATATTGGTTTCTGGTTTTGCAGCATCAGCATCTGATGTGAACTTGAAAATGCAAGTAATGGAATCCAACCTAGACCTATAGACACAGATGAGGGGCAGGACCCTGGCTCAACTCGGAGCACCCGAGCTCTTTCAAAGTCCAGTAGTTAAAATTTTATTTAAAAAAAAAAAATCCTTTAACTACAATGGGAAAATACAGTAACTTCATGCAAAGTGAGATGAAAAGTGCTTAGAACAGGTCCAGGCACATAGATGGTGCTGAAGACAGGCAAGCCGCTGTTGCTTCGGCATGTTCACAAGATTCTTACATACACTGGAGGGTAAGTCACAGAAAGACCTGTTAGCAATTAGTCCTAGCGACTGGTACACCCTTGTGATCTGTAGCCTATACGATTATGAGACCAGAAGAACTAGATGGTGCCCGGCTACCATTGTCAACCACTTGAAGGGGGTTCTATGCAGGAGATCCTGGACAGAGAGGGAGAACAATGTGGAACAAAACTCAAAATCATTTGGAGGAAAAAAAAAGGGGGGGACCAGGTCTGCTGGTCCGATAGGCCTGGTGGAACCACTGAGACTATGGCCCATAGCTGCCCTTCAGGTCTGGAATTGAACACATACCTGTGGCTTCCAGCTAAACAAAAGACAGGCATATGAGTTGGACATTTACCTGAGGTAGATACACTTCTTGAAGAGAAAAATCATGGGAGAAAGAAGGGCTGTTTATGCACAGGGAGAGAGTTCAGGGGGCAGGAGTGCATGGAGGGATGGACACGGGAGAGGTAACTATCTGGAAATAGTGGGAGGGGAGCTGTTACATTGTGGTAAATGTAGTCAATGTCATGAGACAAAGTGAACGTGAACTGCTGTATGGAAAGTGCATTTGCTCTGTAAATTTTCACCCAAATCACACACACAAAAAAAGACCCCTGTTAGCAGGGTCACTGGTGGTATTTTTCAGAACATAAAATACAATGACTTCCTTACTCAACCAGTAGCACCATACCAAACCAAAACCAAACTCACTGGTGTCAAGTCAGATCCAACTCATAGTGACCCCTCCTTGGGGCTCCGAGGCAGTATCACTATGGAAGTACACTGTCCAACCTTCCTTCCAAGGAGTGGCTGGTGGGTTTGAAACACCAGCCTTCTGGTTAGAAGTCAAATGCCTTAGGCACTACACCACCACAGCTCCCAGTAGCACCATAGGTAGTGGTTAATTTTCTTGCATAAAAGCATACCTTTATACCCTTTAGTATTTTAAATATCACTTGCAGCAGGGTATCATACAACGCAGGTGGTTCTACTGCCCAAGGGATGCAACCTTACAGGCCACATGACTCAAAATGTGGAAGTATTATGACTACCATTATTTTTCACATATGAAGCACCCACATCAGTAACATGCATTGTAAACTAATATATGGGGAGGCTGTGCAGTTTGCAAAGCATGTGACACCTGTTATTTGTGTAAAAAACACAGTAACCGGACAGTGGAGTCAACATGGTCTCGTGTCATGCTTTATTTTATAGTATGACAGCACTAATACATGTCCCATTCACAGGAATCAGGACCTCCACACCTCTGTGCTTTCCCCTCTGGCCCTGCAGGCAGGCAGACCCAGGTACAAATGGGTGACTGGGAGATGGCCCAGCTCAGTTCCATAGGATCTAGAGACAGACAGGATCACTAGGTCCCATCCTCATCAAGCTACTATCTTCCTCAAGGGAATACTAAATGCTAGAGATGGGAAAACTGGAGCCACTGGACTCCAAGGAGGCAACCCCAAGAAGAAAACCAGATAAATATGCATAAATGAAAAAGCATTTTCACAAGCATTTCTGCCCTGATTCCACTGATCCTAAATGAAGTGTTGGGAAGCTGGACATATGCGCATGCAGAAAGAGAAAATGCTATTGGCTTAGCACCCAGCACCATCCACCTTTGATCACTGGACCTATCATTAATGACCGAGTTGGAATCCAGCAGGGTGCCAGTGTCTTTTAACTCTACTTTCCAGGTTACATGCTGCAACACGGTGTAACACCTGTCCTGTTGAGAAGATCCAGCTACACCCTGCCGGTCAAGTCATGTGGTAACACTGAGTCACATGAACATGTTTCAGAGCCTGAGTTAAAGCATTCCCAAGATGCAACACCACTGGGATGAGGAAGACGTCGATTTCACTAACCATCAGCTAATTTCTATGCTACATAATTCTGCACAAATTTACCATAAATGGTGAGGGGAGCAGGCAATCAAAATAGTACAAAAACCAGAAAATGTATGAGATGGTTTTAGGATGAATGTACAGGACAAACTGCCTTCTTCAATCCAACTCTGCCCACAGGGACTCCTCCTTCGACCCAACTCTGCCCACAGGGACTCCTCCTTCGACCCAACTCTGCCCACAGGGACTCCTCCTTCGA